ATAGTAATGGGCGGAGGCAAGGAGCAAAATGAGATTTCTCCCGCAGGGTCAGCTACTTTGAATAGAAGTTCTGAGCAATTCAGAAGGATTTCGAGATAACTGGCAGCTATTATTGATCAAATTGCAAGCGTCTAATGCAACAATAAGTGAAAAGCGCAAAAAGGTGGGATACTCCCTTCAAGCCGGCTAAATGCGTGCGGAGTTGACACGGGGCACCCACAGACTGGCAAATCCAGGTCAGACGTACGTGTTGGTCGACTCCAGGACTGACCAGCAAGGCGGCTACCTCAGCATCCAGGACCCCTTCATCCCTCCTATGGAGCAAAACAGGGCACGGCCACCCCAATACAACTAAAAGCTGGGGTCGGGGGGCTGCCAAGCCCTACCCTGACTGAGGTTAGGGCCTGTGCGGGAGGCAAAGGCCCTGGCTTCAGTCAAGGCAGGTCTCAGGCACTTCGTCTGGCTCCTTCCCTTTGACCGGAAGGGACACTTTTCAAGCCTCCCCAACCATCGTTGAGTTGTTGGAGCTTTCAATCTCTCACCACGGGAAGGTGGTGCCTCCAGGAGGACTTTATCGTATTTTCAGTCATATCCACCAGATGTAGCAAATTTTACGGATTCATCATCCATAGAGCTATACATTAGAGGGGAGCGCTGATGATATCTGCTGCTAACACGTCAGATTGCATTTCATTTATTTATAAGCCGGCGAACTTTTGAACCAAAGCTAGGGGGCTCAGATTAAAAGAGGACTGAAGAGGAAAATGTTTCCGACGTCAGAAAATAGTTATTTTCGTCACCGTTTCAGATTTTACAGGGACGCTCCCCGCTGCTCCCAGCACCCACCACTACTGCAGCCTGCTCTTCCGCTTATGCACGGACTGAGGCAGCGGCGAGCGCTCAGACAAACTGCCGACAGATTAACTTAGCTCGAGGAATGGAACACACCTGATGCTCAAACCAACTCGTACCGTTCTCAGTACTAACGCCAACAGCTGACTGACGTAGCGGCGAGGCCGCGTGCCCAGTAGACGAACATATAAATGCGGAGAACGCGTCGCATCTCAGCGCAATCAAGGTAACCTCCGGAGATGTTGAACAAGACCCGTCCGCGGAAGATGCGATGCGGTAGGTTTGCCAGAGACCACATCAGCCTTAACTGAAATGTACGCAATTCCCACATTTTTACATTTGTAGTTATCCGCTCTGACAGCCTCGCGCCACCAATTTTATTCGCTTTCTCCATCTGAGTCTACACCTGCACAATTTGGTTACACAACCAACTTTATGGAACGTTTCAACGCCTCTGTGGTGCGAAATTCCAACATCTGAGTCTTCTCGGAAGCGCAAGGGCTGGATTCCTAGATTTATTTCGCTCGGATTCATGAATCTTGGAACCTGGATTCATAAGCACGTGCTTAAATTAGCCAACTCCCCACAATGCGCTAATTCGGCAGGAAACCAGACCATTCGTGCTCGGCTGCTGCCGAGTTTAAGCTGCATACACCGAGCTATTGCCTTGTTTACGCCAGGGTGATTCCCTGGGGAGGACAAAATGCTCTTTGAGAGCTAAAATAGCTCTTAAGGGGCATCTAACCATGAAATACTGGCGCCCATCGCTGTGAGCACCCATTCGACGTTCGCCATTTATGGTAGGTGCGTAACAGTGTTTCAAAATATTACACAGTTTCCCACGGTACATTATTGTCGCGTCGTGTATAACTAAATTAGCGGTCATGTGCAGTTTGTCTTGGAGCTCAACTATATATATATATATATATATATATATATATATATATATATATATATATACATTTCTTAATACGCGATTCACTGAATTTCAACACTGACGAGATTGGAATTTTTCTGATAACTACAGACCATCGCAAAACCCAGCGTCAGCTCAACGACAATGGATGCGGTGATTCAATGCTGGGTTAGAAGACGTCTGTGCACAAGCCATCAGTTTTGGTTCGGACCAGTCACTAAAGTTAAGAGGCACTGGGAGTTGAGCACCTCCTAACATTCCGGAAGTTCCGCCCATAATCATGATGCTTGTTTGCAAAATGCAATTGTTTGGTCATGTGCTCGATTCACAACCTGGAAAAACCCTTCCTAGGTGTGTGCTGGACCAATCATTTTAATACGTACTCTAAACCTTAGAAATGGATCCTGAGACTGGATTCCCGGGTATTGGATCGCAGACCTCTAAGACCCGGGATCCATTGCAAATTTTTAAGAGGATCATCCGCGATCTGGGGTCTATTTTCAAATTCTTCGAGAGGATCTTTCAGCATCTGTTTTTCTGAATTTGGTTGACGGGCCCTTCCGGTTCAGAACCGATTTTATAATTTTGTCAACGACCCGTCTGCGATCTGGAATCCTTTTTCTGGACCCGGTTACGTGCTGGCCCCAAAACAACACCCAAAGGTTGGGATGGGGTTCAAAACTTTGGTTATCGTGATACGTGAGTGCTAAAACGAATTGTGATATGTAGGTG